GGGATATCTGAATCTTGTAAATCATGGTCTGGTTTCCAGCTAATGCATCTGGAAGCTTTTACAGTTGTTTTGTTCAGTGTTACATTGCCCGGTGGATAGCCTGCTAACGATTCTAATGCTCGTTTCGTCTCCGTTCGGTGGCTGTTCTGCACGATTTTCTTTGAGTTTAAGCTATGAAAATCTAGCATTTTAAGCCGACTGTAACAACCAGATTGACCCTGAAAGCCGAAATGGCGAAGGCGCGAGAGATTACAGCATGGGAGAAGATTAAAGTGATATAAGACGTTTCGGTCCATTAAGTCATATACGCCTTAACTCGACACTGCGACAGGACCTCGTCAATTTGACGGCTTGATAGAAAAGTAAATAAAAAGAGAAAGACGAAGGAAAGAAACAGAAGGAGGAACGATATGATAGTAGGATTAGATGGAGCAAGAGTGGGGTAAAAAAAGATGGAAGAAAAAGATTTTAAAAAAAGGTTTTTTTTAAAAAAATCCCACTTCAAATTTTTAGAAAGAAAAATTAATCTTATTTTTAAATTCTCTTTAATCGAATTTTCGTGTAAAAATTACGGTTTTGTCGCCTTAGTTTTTCTGTTTTTCCAATTTTTTTAAACCCAGTTTTAATGCAAATTACAGTTCTGGTACCTTTACAGGTGCAATCTTTTTTGCATGGTGTGCACGAAGTGAGTGCACTGGTTGGTGAAAGACAGGAAGCGGTGCCAGCTGAACTAATCACTGCACTGGTCACCGAGCTCCGGATTCTGCCACCAAGTTCAGCACCGGCTGTGCTGAAGGCTAAGCAATTGGCAGTCGATTCCTAAGGCCCGCAGGCTTTTTCGCTCCAAGTCCTTCATCACAGGCCTTTCATTTTTTCTGTTGCTTTGTTTGATGGTATGCTGGGAAGTGCCACCACGTTTGCTGAATTTCCGATTTTTCCGGCCAAATTTTTGGCTAATCAATCTTTTGCTGTTGAATATCGGACTGTTGAATTGTTTGAGATTACTCTGCATTGTTTGTAATCGCTGAATTATATGAGGTTGTTATGTGGTACTGGAGTCATATTTCCTGTTCTTTGACTGCATTTCTGCACTCATTTGTGTTTTTTCTCTCTTTTCTGAGTTTTTTATTGGAACTGCAACAGCGGAGCATCCTAGCAAGAATGAGGGGTGAAGCAAAAAACGAGGTTAGGGGTGGAAAAGGGGGAAAGGGGAGGAGCGGAAAGGAGGATAGGGAAAAAAACAAAGGAAAAAATGAGGTTACGTCGGGTTATGCTCCCCATAACTGAGCTGTGTTTCCCTACTTTCTTAATCGTACCGATTGGAATTCGTTCAAAGCGACGAAAGTTGGAATTCGGAAAGGATCGAATTTTTACCGCATTAAATGAATCGAAAGGAATCAGTGCCATGTTTTGCTCTAAAGACATTGAGGTAGTACCTCCTTTTCTTGTAGAAAGTCGGTTACCATGTCATCCAGGTTAAATAAGAAGTGCTAAGTATGAAATTTAGACGATGGTTTCCTTCGAAATGATTGTTATTGTTTCATTTGCCACTGTATCATTGTATTGATCACCACTTTACGATTGTTTCGGCGTGGGAAGTTGCTAATTCGGGAAACTGAAAAGCTAGAAAGCTGAAATTTTAAGGGAAATGGAATACACCCCGTCATATCGGGTGCAGTTTTTTTACCAGTTTCTTTGGTCCTGAAAAAAAAAATAAAAAAAAAAAACTGCGCACTTTCCACTAAGTTCTCACTGCCAATCATAATGGGGAATTCTTTTTTAACATGGTACATTATCGTGTGATTATAATACAGTGACGAGTATTGTTTTGCACTGCACTGTATCATGATTATAATCCTACAATTACATGGTTTCTGTAGCTATTTGTTAGCAGTATTATTGGGTAATTGCTATTAATTTTTGTATTCAGTTTTTGCTGTCTATAAAAATTTTTTTGAAGCTGTGTTTTTTCGTATTTTTCTTGTTTCTGTTCCTGTACACAGTAATTATTTTCAAAGAATTTTTTGTATTTTTTATACACCAGGGAAGAATCATATACAGGAAATGTATTAGTAATGGCATAGATGAAATATAGGAAATCTTTTAAAAAAAGATACAAGTAATGATTTATAATTTATGTTCGAATTGTCTTGCCAACTGGTAACAGAAAAGGTCCAATTCCTCTTGCCAGCGAGTAGCGAAGTTGGCTGATTTTGGCGTGTTAAAATGTGTAGTTATTAGTATTGGCATGTGCGAAATATAATAAATTTGTTAAAGAAGATTTTAGTAGTTATTTGTAATTTATATGTCCGACCTGTCTTGCCATTTGGTAACAGAAAGGGTCCAATTCCTCTTGCCATCGGGTGGCGAATTAGGCTCAGTTTGACGTGTCGAAACGTATAGATATTAGTAGTGTCATGTATGAAATATAATAAATCTGTGAAAGAAGAATTTAATAGTTATAATTTGTATGTCTGATCTGTCTTGCCAACTAGTAGCAGAGCAGGTGCAATTCGTCTCGCCAGCGAGTAACGGAGTAGGCTCAGTTTAACGTGTTAAAAGTTGTAATTATTAGTAGTGGTATGTATAAAATATAGTAAGTCTGTTAAAGGAGATTTTAGCAGCTATTTATAATTAATATGTCCGATCTGTCTTGCCAACTAGTAGCAGAATAGGGCCAATCCGTCGTACCAGCAAATAACGGAGCAGGCTCAGTTTGACGAGTTAAAACGTGCAGTTATTAGTGGTGGCATGTATGAAATATAATAAATCTGTTAAAGAAAATTTTAGTAATTATAATTTATATGTCCGACCTGTCTTGCCAACTAGTAATAGAGCAGATCCAATTCCTCTTGCCATCGGGTGGCGAATTAGGCTCAGTTTGACGTGTTGAAACATACAGATATTAGTAGTGGCATGTATAAAATATAATAAATCTGTTAGAGAAGATTTTAATAGTTATTTATAATTTATATGTCCGATGTGTCTTGCCAACTGGTAACAGAGCAGACCCAACCCGTCTTGCCAACGAATAACGAAGTAGGCCCACTTTGACGTATTAAAACGTGTAGATATTAGGAGTGTTGTGTATGAAACATTATAAATCTGTTAAAGAAGATTTTAGTAGTTATTTATAATTTATATGTCCGATCTGTCTTGCCAACTGGTAACAGAACAGGCCCAATTCGTCTTGCCAACGAATAACAAATTAGGCCCGCTTTGACGTGTTAAAACATGTAGATATTAGGAGTGTTGTGTGTGAAATATAATAAATCTGTTAAAGAAGATTTTAGTAGTTGT